TGGACCTTAAGCGGCACTCATCGGCTGTTGTTGTGTGTCTTCCTGCCTGGCAAGATTTCACCTATTTCTTTGACCTACTGGTGACTTATTTGAAACCTAAGAAAGAATTATTTTACATGTTAGATTATTCTTATATCCTCGAAGTCATAAAATGCGTTGAGATAATGAAATAATGCGATAGAAGTAATTTGACCGGAAATAAATTATTTACCATAAAAAAAGGAAGTGAAAAACCATATGAAGGATTATCAAGATTTGAAACAAAATATAGTTTCGTAGAGAGTAATTTACACCTATGGAAGTGAAATGTATGATATCTCTACTTTTAAATGGGACTTTGTTCCATCGCCTCCCCTCATTCTCGGTTTTTTCCACCTCACGTTCCCGTCCCCTCTTTGGTTTCCTGTTGGTTTTTGGTATCCCCAACCGACGTGGCACAAAATAAAAACCAACATAAATATAATAAATTGGAATAATCTACACGAGATCGATACTTTTTCATAACCGTGTCTTGCATTAACTCAATCATATCAAATCAATCTTACCAGAATTTTAACTGAATCAAAACTTTTCTTACCTTCTCTTACCATGATATAATCAAATTAAATGTTATCAAAATCTAGAATATGGTGGATGTAAGGTATATGTCGGACAAGATTGATGTTGAACCAATAGAATATCTATGCCCCCGTTGCAATGCATGGGGTCCAGGCATGGCACATTGCTCGCATTGCAACTGGCTTGTCTCCGAACTCCCCAAAGTAGGAGAGGGACCAGGAGACGGCGCCAAAATGGGAGGTGCAACATAGGTGTGTTGGATTCATTTTCGTGCCCACTAAAGGTTTTCCTCGTGCAAGTAGAGGCACCATAGCCCTCGCCCATTGCTGGAGACGATGTTAGTGGATCGATGGTTGTAGGGAACAACGTTATGATGAGATGCAATAGGAGAGAGAGAGAGAGAGATGGGGGAGAGAGAAAAAGGTGACAGTGATATGATGCAAGGGGGGCAATGATTGGAATGACTAAGGGTGTGGGCAATAGACACTGAATTCGTATTCGGATAAAATTCCTAAACATATAGTTTTTTGTTGTATAATGCGTTGGTCAACTTGATGATCTAGGAACCTGTGGATGCCCCATGCACCCGTCTAGAGGGAGTAGTCATCTTTTCCTCTTGCATTTGTTAATTCAGGGATTCACTTCAATATACGCACATTAGACTTATTTTTCCAAACACGACAACTTTGCTACTCCATTGAATAACATACCATGTGTTGGTATTCATCGTTATAAATAACACAAAGAAATTTTTGTTCATCACTAATCTGTATCAATATGTGTTGTGTTCTCTCTCAAAGAAGTGAACTCTGGAAACCCTCCTCATTCTGAACAATGAAAATTCTGAGGTTGAAAGTACAAACTTGATACAACATGAAAGACATGGAGAAAAAATGGCCGTATTTGGAGCCGGATGGAAACATGGGCGGATTTGGAGTAGGGTGACGATGGAGTAGACTGGTGTTGCAATGACCAAAAGAGCTGAAGTGAAGGAATAGATGGAATGACAATGATGCAACCTTGTCATGTGATTCTTGTATGTATATTTGAGGTCCATAGGCAAATAAGTATTAGTGAGATAAAGTGACGGAGATGCATCTTAGGTGGAGATGAAAGCAGAGCCCGGTTAAACAGAGCATTATTAGTTTGTGAATGAACATGTGGTGGAATAATGTTCTCATGTTCATATGCCCATTTTCTTGTGATTTGTACTAAGGTGAGGTGCCTTGTATCTCATCCTTTTTTATCATGTTCCATGTTGCATGACATACGTAATAGATATAGAAGCCACATGCAGTGTCAAGGGGCAATAGATTGAGAGGATGGTTGATGTATGGACAAAGAGGGCTAGGGAGAACAACTTCAACAGAAACGAGAGGCTAGAGGGGTGCATTGCGTTTGTTGGAATAGAGAGAAGATACTTGTGTTTGTGTTGTGGTTGAACATTGCGTGCAATGTTTTCATTCGGGAAGAGAAATATGAGCATCGTTTATAAATTTAATTTTTGGCCCGTGGCAACGCACGGGCAGTCTACTAGTATGGAGTAAAGAATACACGAGGAAGTACAATACTAAAGTTATACAATACAAAAATTAATTTCATGATGCATCTAATGATATTGATATTGTATAAATGTTGATTTTATTTATAAATCGGTCAAACTTCAGGAGGTTTGACATTCTACGCAGAGTAAGAAATCAGATGGGATATTTGTGAACAGCATAACCTACAGCTAACTAGTAGTACTCCCTCCGTTTCAAAATATAAGACCTTTTAAAGATTTCAATAGGCTACATAAGGAGCAAAATGAGCGAATCTTAGGAGTGACTCCCCCAGAAGCCATATTTGCAGCGTTGCCGATTATCCCAGAACCAAATTGAACAGTGGAACAATCCTAGCACGATGGGTCAGCGGTGGCAGAGAAATCTCATCCAAAGCAGTCGTCATCTAGGACTAGAATTAGTTCACCATCAGCCTACTCCTAGGGCTTGTTTGTGTTCGAGAATTCGAGTACCTGATCGATCATGGTGTGGAGGAGGTCGAGCGGTGCTCGGCGTCTTGTAGGCGAGGAGGTCGTCAGACGAAGCGGCGGCGCGTGGGTACGCGGGGTGGAGGAGGACGCCTTGGACGCTGGAGCAGAGTCGATCGGGGAACAACAACCGAGGTGCTCCTTGACACACGGGCCCAATTGTTTAATGATCTAGTTTTTTATCTCGCTAGGAGTGTAGTAAATATATATTTTTGAGAGAAAAAATTATATCTATTCATCAACTGTCAAGGTAGTGCCAAGAACACCAAAAATAAAAATTACATCAAATTCCGTAGACCACATAGCGATGACTACAAATACAGGAGCGGGCATAGCCCCTCCCTTGTCGGAGCCGGGCAAATATTATTGCAGTAGACAGTCGGGAAGTTGTCGTGCTAAGGCTTCATATAACCAGCACACCAGAACAGCAACAATCACCAATGAAAAGAAGAGTAGATCTGAAAGATTCAACGTGCATACACACAGACGTAGACGTACGAAGACCGGATCCAGGCGGATCCGCTGAAGACAAACGCCGATCAGATCCCACGAGATCCGTTGGAGACACATCTCCACACGCCCTCTGACGACGATGAAAGCATCACCAGGACTGGGGCTAGTCTGGAAGAACCTTATTCCATCTTCAAGAATTGCCGCCTCCTCGTCTTCTTAGCATGGCACAAACCCTAATAAAACTCAAAAAAAAGCACCTAAAAAAATAAAAAGCCATCTAAGTGTCTGAGTGTAGTAAATATAAGCTCTGTAGGTTGAATGATCCATACATGTTTTCTTATATAATTCAAAAGAATTTTATGATCTCCTAGACGTCAAATCAAATAGCTTACACACTCAATTTCTTCTTCGCATAAAAGATTGGTCTAAAATCAACTTAGTAAAGTTTGATCAAATTTATTTAAAAAATATCGACATGTACAATACTAGAGTTATACAATATGAAAGTTAATTTCATAACGCATCTAATGATATTGATTTCATTTTGTGAATATAGATGTTTTTTCTATAAAATTGGTAAAACTTTACGAGGTATGACTTCAAATAAATCTTACTTTCGAACTGCATCTGGACCAGCCCGCGCGACAGATTCGAACTCGCGATCGCTACGTTCAGATATAAGCAAGCTAACCATTAGGGACATCACAACACTTGTGCCTAGAATTTTATTTATTATTTATTCTTCCCGCGGTTCGTGGAAGCTTCCAGCCGGATATCTTTTCCTTTTATCATTTGCGGTTTTTCCTTCACCGGTTTTTGTTTGGTTTTTTCTTTCTTTTTCTGTTTCTTTTCATTAATATTTCTTTACATTCTCTTTTTTTTCTTCACATTTTTATTATTATTATTTTCTTCTTTTCTCAAAATGCATGAAATTTTTTCAACTTTAACGGACATTTTTTCAAAAATTAATGAACTTTTTTCAAATTAGATAAAAAAATTCAAATTCAATGAACTTTTCTTTCAAAATCAATGAACTTTTTCAATTTAATTGAACTTTTTCTCAAAATTAATGATTTTTCCAAATTCGATGAACATTTTCCAGATTCTTTTAACTATTTTTCAAAATCCATGAACATTTTTAAAATTTGATGAACTTTCTTCAATTTTTGTGAACTGTTTTCCAAATCCAATTAACTTTTTTCAAAAAAATTCTCAAAATCATGAAATGTTTTAAAGCTTTGTGCACTTTTTTGAAATCCATGTACATTTTTGAATCCACGAAAAAAATCAAATTTTTTTCATTCTTTTTCACTTCGCAATCAAGCCCTACAGCTGCTTCGTAATATAGGTGATAGATTAATTGCTTCTTAATATAGGTGAGATAGATTGATTGGATTTTTTTTTGCTATAGAATTCTAATCGAGCATTAGGTCGGACATAGAAAACTCTTTTCCATCTAAGCCCTTTCATGTCTGGATATGCACACCTACAGTTCATAGTAAGTCAACGTTGGCCCGGTAAACCGCGACGGGTCATCGAAACCGGTGACAGGCGATCTTCTACATGTGCCGGCCCACCATCATGCGCACGTGAGTGCATCGGCAATCCCGCACGTGAGTGCACCATGCGCACGTGAGAAGTTTTCAGAAGCCATAGGACAGGCCCTAAAATAGAAGGCACCAGAAGCAATGACGTTCCGCAAGCAAACATGCGCACCACGAAAGAAACAAGCCAAAATGAACATGAAAAGGCCAGCATAATCACCACATAACCGCCCAGACGTTATAAGCTACGCACAGCAATAGTAGCTGACAGGTTCACTTGAAAAAGTGCACAAATAATTCACAGTAGCAAAGGGCGTCTTTCTTGTTTTCGGATCGGGAATGCTAGAAACTAAGCGTTCGTTCCTCCAATGTAGACAAGACTGGCGGCAACCGCAACATGCGTGACAGAGACGGTCTCATTTCTTGTTGTTGTTCAACATCTTGAGCGACTGGAGCCCAAGCAGCAGGTCGCCCGAGTCGAGGAACACCTTGTTGTTGGAGGCTGCGATGGTGTGGGCAATCTCCCTGGCGGCTTCAATCTGCCTGAGCGCCACGAAAGCAGGGTTGTTGGCAATGGCATTACCAATCAGCTCTGCACTCTTTGCCTCTCCCTGTTCAGATACCAAACACAAAGGCGCATCAATCAGCGTTTCAATCAGGTGCTCTAAAATTAAACAAACTCAAATGTACAGCTAGTGTTACGCAAGTGCCACCAAACTCAGAAAAATGTAAAGAAATGTACAGAGCTAAGATATAAAACACTAGCAGTATGCCCATACTAACTACCTCTGGAACATAGAAAATGTTTAGTCTGACACTAAATTCAGTCATATGAACATAGCACTGAAAGTATGAAACTATATTCAGTCATATGAACATAGCACCAGAAGTCTGAAACTATGTTCAGTCATACAAACATGCCCCTGGAAGTGTGAAACTACGTTCAGTCATAATAACATGCCACTCGAATACTAAAACAAAACTATGGACATAGCAATCCAATCATCATATGAAATGTACAAATTTACTAGAGTCAGGCTCAAGTGCTCCCAAACTCAGCAAATGCAGGGACATATATGATGATATGAAGACTTAAACAACACTAGCAATATGCCTCTACTAACTACCACTGGAAGCCTGAAAGTAGGTGAAGCCATATGGAAACCTTGTACCATAAACTTAACAAATGGAATGTACATTTCTACCAGTGTTTGGCTCAAATGCGCTACCAAAACTCAACAAGTGTAAAGGAATATATGATGAAGCTATGAAGACATAAAGAACACTGGCAATATGCCTCTAGTAACAATGATTGAAACCGTAAACAGGATAAGTAGGTTTGTAGTGTGAAAGAGAAATATCTAATTCCTGTTTTGCTTACCTGTGCCCTGATAATTGCACTTTTCTTGTCTTGCTCAGCCTTCTCAACAATGAACTTGGCACGCTCAGCTTCCTGAGCAGCAACCTGTTTGGCTTCAATGGCATGAGTGAACTCCTTACCAAAGCTGAGACTGGTAATGGACACATCATCCAGAGCGATGTTGAAGTTCTTCGCCCTCTCTGTCAGAATCTTCCTGATCTCCCTGCTCACAGCCTGCCGTTACATGAAGGATAAGTCAGTAACATATTTCAAGTAAGACCAGCTATTATCTCCTATAGCATGGAAAACATGTAGACACAGCAAACATGGTGAAGCTGTACCTCTCTCTGTGTGATTAGCTGACTGGCATTGTATTGGGCAACCACAGCTTTGAGTGTTTCATGAATGATTGAAGGCAGCACTCTCTCATTGTAGTTCTCCCCCAGGGTCCTGTACATAGTTGGTAGTCTCTCTGGCATGGGTCGTGTAAGAACACGAAGACCAATTCTCACCTGTACAAATTATGAAGTGGAATCAAATACATGCAAGGAACTGCAGCGCAAATGCTACTTTCAAAAAGAAGTGCATGAACACTAACAAATTCACATAATCAAAATGATATAACTTGCTCAGCATCAGCTAGTCGTCTTAAATCAACATGGCAACAAATAATGATGAAGCACAAAAAGTACTTGTGACTAATGCCAACAGATTCAAAGCAAATAAGTTGAAATGATTATTGACAGGCAATATATAATGACAATCTAACAGATTAAAAGCAAATGAGTTGAAATGCTTATTGACAAGGAATACATAATGGCGACCAGTGCTAATTGATTAAAAGCAATGAACTAAAATGCTTAATAACAGAGCAGTAGACACTAGACAGGAAAGAGGCTACATACAATGCTGTAAGATTTCATAGGTCAGCTAGTATGGGTTGCATTAAAATCCAATGAGTCAATAAAAACCGATGCTAGGTATGCAAACACATTACATGTACCAGATTCCACCCACCTATCCAAATTGGTAAACAATTCAAATGTACGCAATCCCCTTGCAGGCCACAGTTACAGAATATGCTCATAAATGACAATGGCAGTACCGTTTTACATGTACCAGACTCGGTCCAAATTGCTAGCTAGTCACTTCACATGAGCAGAGTATCAACAAGTACAGGCTACACTTTCAGAATGTCAACATAGCCAACTCAAATCAGACCCCTTGGTCGGTCCCAAACATGGATTTCACACAGGTAAGCAGTAAATCAGGCATCTGTGCTAGGCGACGAGGGATCGAGACAGGAGAATGTTACCATCTGGAGATCCCGGCTCCCGGAGGTGCTCTCGACGAGGTTGGGTCGCGCGCGGACGTCGTAGATGATGGGCCTCTCGAACCAGGGGATGACGATGTGAGTCCCCTCGGGGTAGACCTGCACGGACCCGCCCCAGAAATCAAACGCGTAAGGGACCCGATAAATCGCGCAGAAAAACAGCAGGGTGCAAGCAAAATCCGTCGCCGGCGGCCGAGATCCGCGGATCCACGCGAGGGGAGGGGGCGGCGGGCACCTTGTCCTTGATCCCCTCGAGGCGGTTGAAGACGATGGCCCGGTGGCCTCCCTCGACGTTGTAGAGGGTCTGGTTGCCGAGGTAGAGCGCGGTGCCGCCCAGCAGCCCGAGCTTGACCAGCGCGCCCGCGCCCGCCGGCGCGCTCGGCATCCTGGCGCCCTTGAAGTTCATCTCGCTCGCCGGCGGCGGAGGTCGGGGTTTAGCTAGGGTTTACTCGGCCGATTTGGGGGCGAATGGGATGCGGAGGAGGAGGGGGCGGGCGGAGGGTGGGGAATAGGGGATGGAGGAGGAGGAGGGTGGGGGTGTTAAGTGGGTCGGGCTGGTGGATCGGGGCCGTCGGATCTCGAAGAGACGGCGCGGATGGGGCGGCGGGGCGCGTTTCTTTCCTCCCCTGCAAGAAAGGGGAATGGAGGTGCTGCCTTCCGGCCCAAGATGGTCTCGTGCGGCTGACTCCTGGGTCCCGCGCGGGTGGGATGGTTGGGGCATTTCTCTCGTGTGTGGATGGTCAACTTGCGCCCGTGCACGACTAAAAAAGATTATTTATTTTTTTACGGGGACACACCTAAATAAGTTGCACTCGTGCTCGTGCACAGCCTAAAAACAAGTTGCGCTTGTGCACTTGTCGTTGTCATTTACCTTTTTTGAGTGCGCCCGTGCACTCCTGCACGCCCTAAAAATAAGTTGACAATAATTAAAGACACAACGCTGACACTAAGCTGCTCGTGCTTGCAGCCAAGTCATCACTGGGGCTGGCCTGCTTGAGCTGATGCAAAAATGAGGTGAAATGTGTGTTTGGTGTGCTGCATGATACGTGGCAGGCTAAGCTCGGATATTGTTTGGTTTGTAGCATCTAGGTTGTATGACAGATGTAGCATACACCAATATGTTGTTTGGTAGGCTGTATGATGTGGAATCTGATCTTAGTGTGTTTGTACTTGTGTGTAAATAAATAGAAGATTATTTCAAATATATTTGTTGATTCAAGTAATAAAATAATATGTTCGCATGTCTACAAGATTTAGTCAAAACATAATCACGTGTCTTGAAAATGAAAGAGATGATTTAAGTAAGAGAAACAAAATTTCAGCAACATATTGGTTGTTTGTATAAATAGTTAATATACAAATAAGCAGTTTATGGTACAAAATAGCTTTAAAAATGCGCCAAGATCATAGAGAGTGCACATAAAGCAAGTATCCATTCCAGTGCAAGTATATCTTAAAAGTTCACATATATAGAGCCACAAATCCATATGGTCATATTCAATCCAGTACATCCTAAAGTTCACGTATATTAGATAGCCAGAAATCCATATTGTCCATATTGCAGTCCAACAAAGAAACATAACATAAGGTCCATATTACATTTCCTACATCACATATCTAGGGGCATGGTTTTTCTGACCAAATACGGTAAAATATGGTCAGCTTGGTGTGAATCAGCACATATTTGCTCACACTCCATCCTTGGGCACGGACACTCCACCGTTCAACTTGGAGAGGTGGTGAATGGCCCAACGAGTGCGACGAGTCTCCGACATATGCACAAATGAGTGGCTCCTAGCCCTGTTGGCGTTCATACTATCTGCACCATTTGCATAACTATTTTGTCTACTGCTAATTCATTCATTTCCATAAGCTAGCAAAGTGTTCTAAACATATCACACATTCATGCTAATGACAGATCTGAACCTACATAAAAAGTACCCATCCATCTCAAATCCATAGGGGAAGAGGAGGTTCTGGTGATAGATCTGAACCTAAAAAGGAGAGGGGAGGTGATGGGAAAAGAATCCATTGGTGCTAGCCACAGAGAAGGCCCTCTTTCCCGTCCATGACTAGAGGAGGCCGCCGCTTCATCCATCCGCATCAGAGAAGAAGTGCAGCGCGAGCGGCAGAGAGATGGGGATGGGAGGGAGAAGAGATGGATGGGGACAGATGGGAGACAGGGAGAGGGAGGGGAGGAGGAGGGTTCTACCTCCATAGCGGCGAGGATGCCCCGGTGGCAATGTCGACGGAGGCAGCGGGGCTGCGAGATCCACTGCTGTCGCAGGAGAGGGAGGGGAGCGAGGAAAGCGACATGAACGAGTCAGGTGAGAGCGACGAGAGCAGAAACCTATCCCTTTCTCGCGTGGGTGCAGGCGCGCGTGCAGCGGCGGGTGCGGGCTCGCGGAAACGCCCGAGACCTGTGTTTCCCATGAGCCTGGCTGGGAGCCTCTTTTTGCATGCGCCGAGCCTGGCCTAGATAGATGTGCAGGCTACCAAACAATGAGAAATTTGCATGGTGGGTGCGAGCCAGGTGCGAGGCAAGGAACCAAACACGCCCTAAGGCCCTGTTTGGCAACCCTTTGCTCCTTCAGCGCGGAACGAAGCGCACGAAGTGACCTTCCAGCGACTCTGCAAATTTGAAGTGGATGTTGCTTTGCTCCAGAGCGGAGTTGGAGAGAGGGGAGAGAGTCCGAACATGCTCTAATTATCGCCTTTTATAGGGTAACCAGTAACAAGAGCATCTCCAGCCGTTGAGCCCCCCAGGAGGCATTTTTATGTCGCCGGTGCTAAAAAAAGGCTCCTGGGAGCACGGGTGGAGATGCTCTAAGGATAAGATAGACTAAGTGATGGTACAAAACTGAAGGGAACAACTAACAGACGAGCCCCGGCCGCATTGCTCCCGCGAGCGACACGGGGGCAACCCTAGCGCCGCCTTCCTCCAGCCATTCCCACCTCTCCTTCCCCTCGGCCGACACTGGCAGGCAAAGCCCACGGTGATGGCGTCGACATGGATTCTCTTCCTCTCTCACGTGGACCAAGGGGTGGCGCAGGGAAGCCCTTCATGGTAGGGCGCAAGATCCACGAGCGGCATCTGCAATGGTTGCGATAGCACAAGGAGGTGGTGGGCGGTGGCGGCCGTCTCTTCCATGGCCGGTGGGTATGCAAAGTGATCTTCTTCAGCGAGTTGTCGAGCTATGGGCGTGAATCTAATCCCCGTTTAGATTTGTCGTGGTGTGGCTCTTGGCTTGCAGGCGCCGCGTGAGTGGGCTGGTCAGATGTAGCTGGAGGTCCTCTGCCGGCGTTACGGCGACTGCGTATTTCTTCATGGCACAGCTCTGCCCAAATCTAGTCAGCTGCGTGGTCGGAATGGCGCGACTTCTGGTGAAAGTCGTGCCGACTTCGGTCATGGTGGACGATTGCGGTGTCTTTGACGTTGTTTCCTTGTCGAGGCATTGTCGTTACGCTTCGCGTCACCTTGCTCGGACTGCTCCGGTGAAAACTCTAGATCTGGGTCCCGTGTGCTTCATGTGCTTCACGTGAGGGGACAAAGATAGTTCACTTTGGGGAAGCACAATTGTGCTTCACCACGTGCGAGCACAAGCTAGTTTACTTGAAAGCATGTGTTAGCATAGTTTGGAAGCACGTGTTAGTTCACTTTTGGAGCATATTTTTTGTCAAAAACAATCATCGAACATATCAACATGAGATCCAATTTTAGAGATCTGGACACAAGGAACACATTGGTGACTAACTGTTCATAATTTGAATGCACGGTTCAAGAGATAAATCATTTTGAAAAAATAGATCGACAAAAAACCAAAAAAAAACTATCTATTTGTGACAAGTGGCACGCATGTGATGTGCCACTTGTCACCATCAGAGGAGGTGAGGGTGACATTTGTTGGGGGACCCTCTTAACTAGTGATTTTAAATAGACAGAAATATTATATTTATTTGACCCAGTGTGTAAAAGAAAGCCCACCATCAACATATATCTCTTTGAGGCCTCTTTGACTCCCACAAAGTAACATCCCCGGATAGTACCCCAATTATAATTGCTTGCTTTTTTCATTTTTGCGTCATCATTGCATCATGCCATCATGTCTTCATGCTTTAATCCTGGAATTAAATCCTCCAAGTACTAAAAATCCTAAACTTAATTAAAATGTAACTAGATAAAATGAATATATTTTGATCTATTTTAAATTGAGGGGTTCACATGGTCATTTCTCTTTAAACCCTATAAATAAAACCTTCCAATAATTTTAGTGAGACAAAATAAAATATTCCAATTAATTTGGAATCACCAAATACAATTTCAATTTAAGCCCTCAGCTAACACTGTTATTTTATCTTTGAGGATTGACGGTTTACTTTACTTTATACTCCCTCCGTCCTAACACAAGGGCATGTTGTGATCTCCCACAAACTCCACGAATTCCATGATTCCAGCTTCTAACTCCACGCAGCGAGTCAACTCTGTTCTGCAGCGATCGCTGGAATTTCCTATTGGACGCACATTGCGTAAAAATATCGACCCTTCGCACAGACCTACCGATGTAGCGATTACCTGGGCCGGCCCATCAACGTGTTGAAGTGTTTCCGGTTTTGGGAACCTTCTAGAGTTTCCCAACCGATTTCCCTGGTTTTGGGAACCTTCTAGAAGGTTCCTTGAACCGGTTTATCTTTATCTTTTAGCTTTTTATTTTTTTTATGTTTTCTGTTTATTTTTCTTTTCTTTTCCTCTTGCTGTTTCTTTTTTCTTTTTACGTTTTTTATTTTTCAATTAAGAGTTCATGTTTTTAAAATTGTTTGGGAACTTTAAAAAATGTTCATGATTTTAAAAATTAGTTCATTTTTTAAAAATCGTCGTGTTTTCAAAAAAATAAATTCAAAAAACTTTTTGCACTTTTAAAAAATTGATCAGGAATTAGAAAAATGTTTCTGTATTCAAAACTTGTTCCGAGTGTTTTTCATAAATTGTTCAGAATATTTTTTGCACGTTTACCAGAACTTTTCAAATAATGTCTGGGATTTCCAAAATTGTTCCTGTGTCAAACATTTTCTTCACGTATTCAAAAATTGATCACGTTTCAAATTTGTTTGGGATTTTCAGAATTCCTCTCCATTTCGAATTTGGTTCTAAAAATTCAAAATATGTTCTTATTTTAAAATTGTGTTCACAAATTCAAAAAATGTTCATGTTTACAAAAAAGTCCGAAAATTCACCTTTGGAATTGTTTTTTTGAAAACAAGAACATGCTTCTTTCTTTTCTTTTCCTTTTCTGTTTCTTTTTTACTTTCCAATATATTCTTTTTTTAGTTGAGGTTTAAAAAATTGTTGAGAAACTTAAAAAATGTTCGTCCTGTTAAAAAATGTTAATTTTTTTTAAAACAGTTATTTTTTCAAAAATTATTCAGAAATTCAAGTAATGTTCGCAGTTTCAAAAACTAATCCGGCATTTGAAGAAATGTTCCCATTTTTCAAGATTGTTCGGCATTTCAAAAAATGTTTATGTTTTACAAAATTGAATAAATTTTTTTTTTTTTTAATTTTGTTCACGTATTTCAAAAGTAGTTCCAGTTTTTAAATTCGGTTCACAAATTCAAAAAATGTTCGCATTTTCCAAAAATGTTTGAATGTTTAGAAAAATGTTTTGTTTCAATATTTTGTTCACCTTAATAAAAATGTTTTGCATTTCCAAAATTTGTTCGGGATTTTCCAATTGTTCTCAGTTTAAAATTTCTGTTCTGAATCTAAAACGTTGTCCTCGTTTTCAAATTTTGCTCACCAATACAAAAAATGTTCACGTTTTCAAAGCATGTTCGGGAACTTTGAAAAATGTTCAGGTTTTCAAGAATGTGCTGTAAGTTTGAAAAAAGTTTGACTTTTAAATACATTTCTTCTATTGTCTGTTCTTAAAGCTTGGTGCTAATCATTCGCCATCTGGCTGCTTCAGGTCAAGTGGCTAGTTGCAAGCTGTTAGGCGCGCGAGGTTGCATGTTCGAGTCCTCCTAGCGCTTTTATTTTCGGGGGCTGCTACAAATCAACCGGTTGATTTGTTACAAAATTAAGCCACCCTCACAGCCATCCGATTCAGATGCTGCCAGCCACAGGATCAAGTGGCACCACGCAGCTCTCACGGCAGCATCATACAACAGCTCCCATGGCAGCACCGACGGCGTCCGGCGGTGCTTCATTGCAACCTCGCCGGAGCTTCCAACGACCGACACGGCGCTTCACTGCAACCTCGCCGGAGCTTCCAACAACCGCCGTGGCGCTTCACTGCGACCTCACGGGAGCTTCGTTGCAACCTCGACGATTGCAGCACCAACACCAACAGGGCGGTGCTCCATCGTAGCACCCGGATAGCCGCCGGCGAAGCTTCATTGTAGCATCACCACCATCGCACGGTCGTGTTCCATTGCAGCACCGCTGCCCCCGTCAAAGCTCCACCGCAGCACTAGGCGGGCGCCGACGAAGCTTCGCTGCAGCGCAACGCGACGGTGTCGAGGTGCGCGCGGCGAATCAGGCGGCCGCGATGGCGGATGCACGACGGTGACGGCGATGCTGCGACACAGCACGCGGTGGCGACGGAGCTCTGGCGGCCCGATGTTGCGATGCTCCTCTCCTTAGCCTCCTGTCCCGACTATAGCATGTGCAGCGAGTGGTGACTCGCCTCCGACACCTCGTCATCTGCAGCTCCGGTGGCCACTACCACACAGCTCCGGTGGCCACACCGAACCCTCGTCCCCCCTTCGCAGCAGCGATGCCCTGCGATGGATCTTTCACATGGGTGCTGGGATTTGTGTTGGAGCTTTGCCGGAGGGAGAGAAAGTGAGTGGGAGGGTTGTTGGCACCGGCGGCATGGCCCCGAATCTGGGTTGGACGGGATTGAGGGATGAGAGAGGGAGGAGAGATGGAGCAGAGAAGAGATGGGGATGGACAGAAGCGCTCCAGGGAAGACGAGACCCTTCGGCTAAGAGATAAGGTGGCGGCAGGTGGGCTTGTGGGCCTGTGGGGCACGTGGCGTGCTATAAAGGAGGTTTACGAGAGATAGAAATCAACCGATTGATTGTAGACATTTTCCTTTATTTTCTCTAGATTTTTGCGTCGTAAAGTTTAGCGTTCAACTTAATTCATTGTAGTGGGCCGGCCCAGTCGGGGACCCGCTATGCGGCACGCGCTCCATTTGCCGCAAAAAGCGGGGTATA